ATGACACATCTCCCTAACTGTTGAATCTGGACAGGCTTGTCACTACGGCAGAAGTGATGCTATGTGACTTCAGAAGCTAGGATGTGAAAAGTGATACAGGTCCCACCTGCTTCTCTTGAAACCCTTGCTCCTGGAGCATGGCTACTGTTCCATGAGGATGTTCCCAAGGCCTTCAGCCCAGAGCCTGGATCAAGGTCCCAGCCCCGTGAGTGCACCATCTTGGAAGTGGCTCCTCCAGCCCCTAGTGAAGGTGCCCCAGTGAGGATGCAGGAAGTAGTCTAGCTGTGCCTGCTGAATCCTGCCCAAATAGCATATGTGTGAACAAAACGAATGACTGTTGTTTTGAGCTACAAAGTTTTGGGCGTGGTTTGTTTTGCAGCAACAGGAAACTGATAAACATGTCCGTTTTCACTGGGTAATGCCGTACGGCCATGATATTTACCAAATAGTTGTCCCATTTGACATTCTGACCAGCAGGGTATTGCTCTGCCATCTTGCCATCACTGAGTAATGCCACATATGAATGTTGGTGCCTATTTGGTGTGGTTTTAGTTGGCATTTCCAAATTTACTAGTAAGATGATAGGCCTTTCCATGTTCTCTGCAAGAAGCCTGACTATGACGCAGGCTTCTTTGCTGATTTGGGTTTTTGAGACGGAGTCTGGCTCTGTCGTCCCGGCTGGAGTGCAGTGGCTGGATCTCAGCTCACTACAAGCTCCGCCTCCCGGGTTTACGCCATTCTCCTGCCTCAGCCTCCCGAGTAGCTGGGACTACAGAGGCGCCCGCCACCTCGCCTGGCTAGTTTTTTGTATTTTTTAGTAGAGACGGGATTTCACCATGTTAGCCAGGATGGTCTTGATCTCCTGACGTCGTGATCCGCCCGTCTCGGCCTCCCAAAGTGCTGGGATTACAGGCTTGAGCCACTGCGCCCGGCCTTGTTTCTCTCTTTCTAATGGTTCTGAAGCGGTTCTCTCTATATTCTAAATACTAATCATTTGCAAGGTGTACATATCTTTCAGTTTTTCATTCTTCAGTCTCTTTATGGTGCCTTTTGAGGAACAAACGTATGATAATTTCCATCCTTTTATTTACGAAACGGAGTCTTGCTCTGTTACCCAGGCTGCAGTGCAGTGCGGCAATCTTGCCTCACTGCAATCTCAGCCTCCTGGTTCAAGTGATTCTCCTGCCTCAGCCTCCCAAGTAGCTGGGACTACAGGCACGTGCCTCAATGCCTGGCTAATTTTTCTATTTTTAGTACAGATGGGGTTTCACTATGTTCATCAGGTCTTGAACTCCTGACCTCAGGTGATGCACCTGCCTCAGTCTCCCGAAGTGTTGGGATTACAGGTGTGAGCCACTGTGCCTGGCCCCATTGTTTTATTTTTCATCTGTTATTTTCAGGTGAATTTCTTGCAGCAGTATTTAACCATATTCATATTCCATTCAGAGAGGCTGTCTTTTAAAAGATGAATTTAATCCAATCACATTCCTCTGATTACTCAAATGTTTGAGCTTAGTCCTGCCAACTCATATTATGTTCCATATTTATCATGGTTTTATCTTTTACTCATTCCTGTTTTTTTGTTGTTGTTTTGGTGCTGTCATTTTTCATTTCACTTTTTCCTCAGCTGTTTTGAAAGTGGTAAATTCTTTTCCCACCATTCTTGTGGAAACTTTCTGATGGTTTAATTTTTTTTTTTTTTTTTTTGAGACGGAGTTTTGCTCGTTGCCCAGACTGGAGTGCAATGGCACTACCTCAGTTCACCGCAACCTCCACCTCCCGGTTTCCACCAATTCTCCTGCCTCAGCCTCCCGGGTAGCTGGGATTACAGGCATGCACCGCCACAGCCAGCTAATTTTTTTTTTTTTTTTTTGTATTTTTAGTAGAGATGGGGTTTCTCCATGTTGATTAGGCTGGTCTTGAACTCCCGACCTCAGGTGATCCGCCTGCTTTAGCCTCCCAAAGTGCTGGGATTACAGGTGTGACCCACTATGCCCAGCTAAAATTTTTAACCTTTTTTTCTATTGATTCTAAAATCCTCAAACCAAACAATACAAGAGCTTTCATGCACTTTCACTTCCTTCTGCGCCTGGCCTTGCCATGTGTCATGTTGAGCTCATCTGGGATTTCTCTCAGGTTGATTTTAACAGACCAGACTGATTTATTTGCTAGTATCCACGTCTTACTCTTGAGTCCACTTTTCACTTTGGTAAGGTATTTCTTCTAGTACTTTTAGAGACTGCGTGTGTGGTAAACGTGGATGTTTACAAGCCGTGAAGACAACTTCATTTTGCTGTCTCACTGGAATGCTAGTTTCACTGTGTATGAGTTACGGTTCAATTCTCTTAGTATTTTGGCAACCCTTCCTCTGTAGTATCAGTCTGAACTCTAAAAAAGATCCTTTCTCTCTCTCCGAAGGCCTTCCTGAGTCTCCCTCTGACGTGCCTACATTCGAGGCTTTGTTCTTCTCTCCTCTCAGCATCACCTCCATTGTTTGAGAAGTCACTGTCCCCGTCTCTCTCCTGTTCTGTGAAGGGTTTCGTGTCTTTTCATCTTCTCTTTCATGAGCCTGTGTCTTACTTTCACTTTGCGTTGTGGAGAACCTCCAGCTTGTTTCCATCTGGCTTCCCTGAGGCGGAGGAGAGAAGGGTTCCGGCTCAGCTTGCTTGTTTGGCCACAGGCAAACAGACATCAGTAGAATGGAGGTGACACGAAGCTCCTGGGTCTCGTGCAGAAGAGGTCAGGGCCCCAGTGGCCTGCACCCTCTCGGCTCAAGGGTGTGTCTGCAGGGAGTCCTAGATCAGGACTGACCACTAGGGACCTTGGCTGGGGTCCTACCTGCCTTCAAGTCTTCACATCACAACCCACACACTGTGCCATGGGCATGAGGGCTGGCCAGGAAAAAGCCTGTGGGGCTTTGCCCCATCAGGGACACCTGGGTGAACAAAGCCACCCCACTCCCAATAAGGTGTTTGATGCAGTGCCCTGAGCAGTGGTGCCGCTCCGCTTCCCCCTGGGGAAGGTCTGTCCCAGGGTGGACAGCTGCTCCGCCCGAGGGGCCTGCCTAGACGCCACAGGCTGGGCTGCTGGAACCCAGGGATTCCACAGCACCAGCGTCCTGATCACAGATTCTCAAGGAAACCAAGGAGCTTCTGCCTCACCTTAAAACATTTTGGGACTTAATCTTAGAGTGAAAATTGTTATGACCCCACTGAATTTTAGAGTTTACACAAAAGGCCAACGTGAAGGCAGAGACTCAGGCCTCTCAACTCGCGCCCGCAGGGGCCTTTTCTTGCAACCTCAAAGGGCATCTGCTTCACGCCGGACTCGGCAGGGCCCTCACACTGGCAGGGCTACTTGCACACCTGGCCTGACACTCACTGGGGAGGCTCCCCAGCCCGGCTGCACCACCCTCCCCTACTTAGTCGGGTGCCCCGGCCAGTGCCCCTTCCACTTCTACGCAGCGGGCCCGCAGGGCCCCCTCTGCCCACTTAGGGCCCTCCACTCTGGGGCCAATCGCCCCCTGCCTCAGGGCCCCCCACTCCTGGGCCAATGCCCTTCTGCCTCAGGGACTCCCACTCCCAGCCGGTCCCCCCCGCCTCAGGGGCCCCCACTCCTGGCCGGTCCCCCCTGTCAGGGCCCCCGACTCCCGGCTGCTCCCCCCTCCTGCCTCGAGGGCCCCCACTCCAGGGCCAATGCCCTTCTGCCTCAGGCACCCCCACTCCAGGGCCGTTCCCCCCAACTCTGGGTCCCCCACTCCCGGACGGTGGTACCCCCTGCCTCAGGCTCCCCCACTCCCGGACGGTGGTACCCCCTGCCTCAGGGTCCCCCACTCCCGGCCCCGTCCCCCAACTCTGGGTCCCCCACTCCCGGACGGTGGTATCCCCACCTACCTCAGGGTCCCCACTCCTGGGCCAATGCCCTTCTGCCTCAGGGACTTCCTCCCGCCCGGTCCCCCGCCTCAGGGTCCCCCCACTCAGGGCCAATCCCCCGCCTCAGCGGCCCCACCCCCTGGGCCAGTATCTGCCTCAGGGACCCCCACTCCCAGGCGGTACCCCCCTGCCTCAGGGCCCCCGACTCCCGGCTGCTCCCCAACTGCCTCGGGGTCCCCCACTCCTAGGCCTGTCCCCCTGCCTCAGGGCCCCTCATTCTCCATCCTCCTGACCTCCTCAGGGACCCTCTGGCCAGTCTCCCTAACTCAAAGGGCCCCCACTCTCCATCCTCCCGACCCCCACTCCCAGCCCGGTCCCTGCCGCCTCAGGTCCCCACTTGGCCCCAGCTCCTCGCGACGCCCCCTCCCCCGCGCCGCTGAGGCACGGGTCCGCGCGTCATGGCGGCAGCGGGCGGGGGCGCGTCTCGCACGCAGCGCGCCGGGCGGAGCGCTCGCCGCATTGTTTGCTTCGCTGGGGGCGAGCGAGCGGCCAGCCCTGGCGTCGAGCCAGCCCCGCGTCCCGCGCCCGCCGCCCGTCGCCCGCTTCGCCGACGATCCCCAGTCCGGGCCTCAGCCCAGGCCCGAGCCCCGCGCCGCTGAGCCGCCGCCCGAGAGTCCGCGGCCGCCGCTGCCGGGCGGAGCCGCCGCGGCCGGAGGAGCCCGCGCCCGGGAGAGAGGAGCCCGCGCCCAGGAGCGGCGGCGGGGCCCGGCCTGCGCGGCCGTTGGCGGAGGAGCCGCGGGCGCCATTAGCGCCGCCTCGGCCGCGCCGGCCCCCGCGTCCGCCCGCTTGCCGGGCTCCCGCGGCCGCGGCGCCCCGAAGGTGAGTGGGCGGAGGCCTGGCCGTGGAGGCCTCCCCGCCGCCTCGCGGGCCGCCCGGGCCGCCGCCGCCGCCGCCTCCGCCTCGGCCGGGCCTCTCGGGGTTGTGGTGCCGACGCCATGTTTGGCGGCGGCGGCGGCGGCGGCTCCGCATTGTCCGCGGACCGGGAGCCCGGGATGCCGGGGAGGCCGGGCGGGGAGACCGGGGAGTTCGGGCCGGGCGGCCGGGGAGACAGGCAGGGAGCCTGGGAGGCCGGGCGGGGAGACCGGGGAGGTCAGGCCGGGGAGTCGAGGGAGGCCGAGTCGGGCTATGGGTCTCGGCGGCCTGGGCCGCGGCGCCCGCCCAGAGTCCGCGCTCGAGTCGGGCCGGGCCGCCCCTTATGTAACAGGCCGGCCGAGCTCTGCCCAGACGGGAACTCCCTGTGAGCAGGGACGCGCCCCGAGATGGCCCAGGAGCCGCGCGGCCTGCGGAGGCCGGGCTGGAGAACCAGCGCCGCCGCCTCCCCGGGCGTTTGCAGGGAGACGCCTGGCGACGAACGCGAGGCTTCCCCGGGCCTTTTAAACGAGTGACACGCTTGAAGCGCAGTTCACGGGAAACGCGGCTCTTGGGAGCGGACGCGGGAGTTCTGAGAATCCTCAGCAGCAGGAGCCCCTGCCCCGCGGGGTGCGGGCCGGTCCCCCAGAAAGCGCGGCCGTCCGGGTCGGTCTGTGAGGCTCGGTCGCCAGGCGGTGGTGTAGTTAGTGGAATCGGCGGAGGTTTTTGTTTGCCTGGCCCCGCGCCGTCCCGAGTGCCGTGTGCTTCTCACAACTTCGCACAACTCCGCGGCCGCGGCTCCCGTGGCCTTTAGGGAGAGGCCCGGCGCGTGGTCGGCTTCTCCCTGGCCGGGCGGTGGCAAGAGGGAAGCGGCCGTCTTGTGGGCAGCAGCCTTCCCTGCTTTGGGCCCGCAGAGCTCTTCAGGATGTACTTAAGGGAATTATTCCTTGAGAAGCGACGTGCGTGCCCCCGCGGATCCCTCCCGGTGGAAATGCGTGTCCCGGCCTGGGCGGAACCGGCCCGGGGGGAAGCGGGGAAGGGCGTGGGTCGCCCGGCGCTGCCGCCGAGGGTCTACTCTCCCCGGGTCCCAGTTCCGTGTTGAGAGCTGCTGTGGCCGTGAAGCCTTCGGTTCAGTTCTCCCCTTGTAGAAAGCGTTGAGATGAAGAGCTTCGCGGCTCCCTGGGAGAGAGTGGGTTTCCGGGGGCTGCTTGTCCTTAGGGCGACTCAGGACTTTGCTGTCGAGGGGAAAATTACAGGTTCGTTTCTGATCTGGTGAGTAACCAACTGTTGCTTCTGCCCCATGTCAGTAATGACGCGTGTCGCCGTCCCGGGTGCACTAGGGTAGCTCTCTGCAGGCTGTGGTGTCACCTCTGCAGGGCTCCCAGGGCCGGCTGGGCTGTACTGACTGCTCTCCAGGAATCCAGGGTTGAGTGGGTACCTGGAGGCCCTGGAGATGCAAGGGGCCTGAGGTTTGGCTGACCACATTTTCTCTCCTGTCCTCTCTGTAGGTAATTGCAATCTAGTTTCAACATACAATGAGGATTTCTGTCTGATACAGAGAAAGATACACAGTGGCTGGAGGGTCTGTCTTAAGAAGTGCCCTTGAAGTCGGCTGGGATTTCCTTTCGGGACTCACAGAGGGAAGCCTGCTCCCTGAGGGCTTTTTCTGAGGCCCAGTAGATCTAGGCCCAGGGTGAGGCTCTGAAGCCAGGCTGCTGCGGGTGCCCCTGCTCCCCCTGGGCCCCGAGGCCAGACGTCCCTGACCTTGCAGGGCTGGATGCAGAGTGGGCCTTGGGATTCAGCTGAGAATATTTGTTTTGCGAGTCAGTCACTGCAAAATCATTTTGCTTCCTGTCAGTGAAGTGTGGCGCTTTGGAGGGAGGCACTGCCCGGCAGGTGGTGGTCTTCACTGGAGGTGCCCACACAGGAGGCACCCCGGGGACAGCTGGGAACAGACACAGTCCGTGGTGTTCGAACAGCAGAGGCCTCTGCCACAAGGAGCTGGAGGTATGGGTGGCAGCTCACTGGTTTTGCCCACCTCTGGAAAGGCAAATTCTCCTAAATCTCTGTGACCAAGTCTTCAGGCACCTGAGCCAGCGCTGGCAACCCTCCTGGTGAGGGTCTCTGCAAGCCTCCAGGGGGTCCTGGGGGCCGCCCCTCGCTGTGTAGCCTGAGAGGAGCGTCTACCTTCACGTGTGCCGGGGAGAACAGAGAGATGCCCTTTGGTGTATTGCACGTATCCGGATTCGCTCAGAAAGGAGGAGGACATGGCCAGCACCATTGTCTCACTGGGGCTTGAGGAGTGCCCCTGAGGGGAAGCGGCAGGTTGACTCGGCCTGTGGGTGTTTCCATGGTGGTCACTGCCAAGGCTCTGCAGAAGCGGGGTTAGGGCCTCCCAGGGGCGAAGACTGTCCCCTCAGACCAGTACAGGGCTCCCCTGTTGGTCCCCTGTGCTGTGGTGTGCGTGTGGAGGGCCTGTCTATAGAGCATGGACAGACTGTGGTCTGTCTCCTACCCCTAGCCCAGCAGGAATGCTGCAAGGACTGTGGTGACTTTGGGCTCATGGGGGTGCTCTCCTGGGAGCAGTGGAGAGGGGAAGAGTGGTTTGGGGGAGTATCCGATAGGACCAGGTAGCCACTGAGCATGCCTCTCAGTTGGGCATAGCCTCTGTCTGGTGGGGTCCAGCCCTATATGTGGACTTCCTGGGGGATCGCCTGCATGCCAGGAAAGTCCTGCAGCTATGGGCTCTGGGCCAGACCCCTCCTTCTTGGGGAGCATTTCTGTGGTCTCCGCAGCCTGTTGGTGTGGTGATAGGGATGCAGGTGCTCAGGAGGGCTCCTCAGGCTGCCTCTCTGCCTGTTACTGCTGTTCTCTCCCTGGTCCTGGGGAGTTGCTCGGGCCTGGATGCGTGGTTTTTGACACCTCGGAAAGAAGTTAGTTGTGAGTTTTGCTTTGATTGGGTTTTGAGCTGGTGAGCTAGATCTGCCCCAGCGTACTTTTGCAGCTTTCTCGAGTCTTTGGTCACCCTGCATAGAAGTAACTTTACCTTTGCCTTTATTTTAGGTAATCATTACCAAATGAGGAGGAAAGGACGATGTCATCGAGGCTCTGCAGCGAGGCATCCTTCCTCCCCGTGCAGTGTTAAACACTCCCCCACGCGAGAAACGCTGACCTACGCTCAAGCTCAAAGGATGGTAGAGATAGAAATTGAAGGGCGCTTGCACAGGATCAGTATTTTTGATCCCCTGGAGATCATATTAGAAGATGACCTCACGGCTCAAGAGATGAGTGAATGCAACAGCAATAAGGAAAACAGCGAGCGGCCCCCTGTCTGCTTAAGAACTAAGCGTCACAAAAACAACAGAGTCAAAAAGAAAAATGAAGCCCTCCCCAGCGCCCACGGCGCGCCGGCCTCGGCCAGCGCCCTCCCAGAGCCCAAGGTGCGCATTGTGGAGTACAGCCCTCCGTCCGCCCCCAGGAGGCCTCCGGTGTACTACAAGTTCATCGAGAAGTCGGCCGAGGAACTGGACAACGAGGTGGAGTACGACATGGACGAGGAGGACTACGCCTGGCTGGAGATCGTCAACGAGAAGCGCAAGGGCGACTGCGTCCCCGCCGTGTCGCAGAGCATGTTTGAGTTCCTGATGGACCGCTTCGAGAAGGAGTCGCACTGTGAGAACCAGAAGCAGGGCGAGCAGCAGTCTCTGATCGATGAGGACGCCGTGTGCTGCATCTGCATGGACGGGGAGTGCCAGAACAGCAACGTGATCCTTTTCTGCGACATGTGCAACCTGGCCGTGCACCAGGAGTGCTACGGGGTGCCCTACATCCCCGAGGGCCAGTGGCTCTGCCGCCACTGCCTACAGTCCCGGGCCCGGCCTGCCGACTGTGTGCTGTGCCCCAACAAGGGTGGTGCCTTCAAAAAGACAGATGACGACCGCTGGGGTCACGTGGTGTGTGCCCTGTGGATCCCAGAGGTCGGCTTTGCCAACACGGTGTTCATCGAGCCCATTGACGGGGTGAGGAACATTCCCCCAGCCCGGTGGAAACTGACATGCTACCTCTGTAAGCAGAAGGGCGTGGGTGCCTGCATCCAGTGCCACAAAGCAAACTGCTACACAGCATTCCATGTGACGTGTGCCCAGAAGGCTGGCCTGTACATGAAAATGGAGCCCGTGAAGGAACTGACTGGTGGTGGCACCACCTTCTCCGTCAGAAAGACCGCTTACTGTGATGTCCACACACCTCCAGGCTGCACCCGGAGGCCTCTGAATATTTACGGGGATGTCGAAATGAAAAATGGCGTCTGTCGAAAAGACAGCTCGGTCAAAACGGTCAGGTCCACATCCAAGGTCAGGAAGAAGGCAAAAAAGGCTAAGAAGGCTCTGGCTGAGCCCTGCGCGGTCCTGCCGACTGTGTGCGCTCCTTACATACCCCCGCAGAGGTAAGCGTGTCCAAGCATTGGGTCCACAAGGCGCCTGCAGTGCAGGACCCTGGGAGGACGCAGGCACAACCTGCAGGGCCCGTGCTGGGTGATCGTTGTGCTTCCTGTTGGCGCAGCTTCCTGATATTCCCCTGAAGTGTGGTTCTGCTTGTTTACCACGTCTTTTTGGGGAATAGATGTTGTAAAAGATTTTAGTCTGTAGTCTTGGAATGATCTATAGTTTTCTAGATTTTTTTTGAGATGGAGTTTCGCTTTGTCGCCCAGGCTGGAGTGTAGTGGTGCAATCTCGGCTCTCTGCAACCCCCGCCTCCCGGGTTCAAGCAGTTCTCCTGCCTCAGCCTCCTGAGTAGCTGGCACTGCAGGCATGCACCACCATGCCTGACAAATTTTTTTTTTTTTTTTTTTGAAACGGAATCTTGCTCTGTCGCCCAGGCTGAAGTGCAGTGGTGCAATCTTGGCTCACTGCAAGCTCTGTGTCCTGGGTTCACGCCATTCTCCTGCCTCAGCCTCCCGAGTAGCTGGGACTACAGGCACTCGCCACCACGCCTGGCTAATTTTTTGTATTTTTGGTAGAAACGGGGTTTCACCATGTTGGCCAGAATGGTCTCGATCTCCTGACCTCGTGATCCGCCCGCCTCGGCCTCCCAAAGTGCTGGGATTACAGGCGTGAGCCATTGCACTCGGCAAATTTTTGTATTTTTAAAATAGAGACAGGGTTTCACCATGTTGGCTAGGCTGGTCTCAAACGCCTGACCTCAAGTGATCTGCCCACCTTGGCTTCCCAAAGGGCTGGAATTACAGCACTTGCTCAGCTTTTTTTTTTTTTTTTTTTTTCTCTTTTCAATGGGGTTTTTCTCTGTTGCCCAGGCTGGAGTGTAGTGGCACCATCTCAGCTCACTGCAACCTCTGCTGCCAGCTTCCAGCAATTCTTATGCCTCAGCCTCCCAAATAGCTGGGACTATAGGCGTATGCTCCTATGCCCAGCTAACTTTTGTATTTTTAGTAGAGGTGGGGTTTCACCATGTTGCCCAGCGTGGTCTGGAACTCCTGAGCTGAGGCAGTCTGCCCACCTCTGCATCCCAAAGTGCTAGGACTATAGACGTGAGCCACCATGCCCAGCCAAGGGTGAAGATTTTTAGGAATTTCAGTGACTAAACTTTAAGAAGGAATGAAGCCCACACAGAAACTCTGTATGACTTTCAACCTGTGGGGCTCTGGCCTGGGCTTCCCAGTGACTTCGGCATCGGGACATCCACTGCTGTGGCGTTGGCCCCGTTTCCCGTGCTGTGCCCCCCACTTGCTGCAGATGCCCTGAGGACAGGGTGGCCAAACAAGGGGAGAAGCTGTGAGCCCAGACGGGGCCTGCCGGTCAACAGGGCGGGGAGACCAGCCTGGTGCTGAGCTTGCAGCTTGGCTGGGGGAGATGCCCGGAGCCCCAGTACCACACAGACCTTCCAGGACTGCTGGGGGTCAGCGAGCAGGACCCTCTGAGGTGTCAGACCTGCTCCACATGTGAGGGGAGGGCAGCACAGGGGGGACGCATGCAGGCTGAGCTGCAATGGATGGTGAGGCTGGGAGGTTGCAGTGAGCCGAGATTGTGCTGCTGCACTCCAGCCTGGGTGACAGAGTGAGACTCCGTCTCAAAAAAAAAAAAAAATTTTTAAGTGATTTTTGTTAATATTACTCTACTTTGCCAAAGTGAAGTGCAGTTTCTTTTCACAGAGCTGTAAATAGATAATTAGTCAGTTCAGACAGAATGGACAAAAAATGCTCATAATCCTTCCCATCCAGAGAAAACCCCTGTGAAAACCAAGGTGTTTGTCTTTGTAAATTAATCTGACTTTGAAGAGATGGTTTTGCTTGGATTTCTACCTATCAGTCAAAAAGTCTAGGGTTTGTATTAAGAGCTTCTGTATAAAAGGTCTACAAATTTCAGCTTTACTGAAATTGAAGCAAAATAAACAAAATGTGATCTAACAAAATGAAGAGCCAAAAGTCTGAAGTGCTCCCTTCCCTGGCCAGTACCAGATGATGACCTGCTCTGGGAGAGGCAGGGCTTGGCCGGGCCCCACGCCCTATTCTTTGGCTGCTGGTGTTGGGTAAGCAGGACTGTTTGCAGGAGGTAGGGTTTGCCTGCAGAGACGCGGGGGCCTGAAGTGGCTGATTGAGAAGAAAACTCGTGCTTTGGACCTAAATATTTGAAAGCAGGTGTTGGAGCTAGACCACGTACTATGTGGTTCTGTTCTTTTCCTAACTTAGGAATAAACTATTATTTTAGCTTCGAGTAGAGAGAGAAACAAACCTGGACAAGTGTTCTTGGCCGCAGTCTCTGCACTCTGGGTTTCCCAGTCTCCAGGAGATGGTGGTGCTTCAGGCCACCTTGCCACCAGTGGAGGAGCTCCCAGCGCGCCTGGCCTGTTGGCACCATGGTGCTGGACCCATCTCTGGGGTGGTTGTGAGGGGCAGCCTCTCAACACAGTACTGACTGCTGCCTGAAACCAGGTTTATAGTCTTGCTGTGGCCTGAGAGGCAGCTGATCTGGCAGCCCTGTTCTTGGGCCCTGGGCACTACCCTGGGTGCATGTAGGAAGCCTCAGCTGTGCATTTGAATTTTGTGTAGATGAGGGTGAAGCTTCTTGCTTGTTTTTTGTTTTGTGTTTAGAGACAGGGTCTTGTTCTGTTGCCCATGTTGGAGTACAGTGGCGCGATCATGGCTCACTGTAGCCTCAAACTCTTAGACTCAAGCGATCTTCCCGCCTCAGCCTCCTCCCATCCTCAGCTGGGACTACAGGCACGAGCCACTGTGCCTGGCCCGTGGTGAAGCTTCTCCATATGCAGCTGTTGGCAGGGATGCTGAGTCTAGTTGGTTAGGGTGTGCACTCACCCATGGCTCTGGGGTAGGGCCTGTCTAGAGCTTCAGGCCAGCCAGGCACACTGGAAGAGGATGTGACCCCATCTAAGCAGTGTTTTGGAGATTTTAGAGAAAGGGGATCTTGCTTATTCCCTGTGGACAGAACAGAATCTGCCTTTAGGGACTGACTGCTTTTATTTATTTTTATTTTTATTTTTTATTTTTGGAGACAGAGTCTCGCTTTGTTGCCCAGGCTGGAGTGCAGTGCCGTCTGTGATCTCGGCTCACTGCAACCTCTACCTCCTGGGTTCAAGGGTTCAACCTCTGCCTCAGCCTCCCTAGTAGCTAGGATTACAGGCACGTGCCACCACACCCGGCCCATTTTTGTATTTTTAGTAGAGACAGGGTTTCACCATATTGGCCAGGATGGTCTCGAACTGCTGACCTCAGGTGATCCACCTGCCTCGGCCTCCCAAAGTGCTGGGATTACAGGCGTGAGCCACTGCACCAGGCTAAAAAAGATAGTTTTTTAAAAAGACAGCAGTAAATAAACACTTTGAAAAACAGGCAGGGCTGGGTGCGTGATTCACGCCTGTAATCCCAGCACTTTGGGAGGTGCTGAGGTGGGCAGATCACAAGGTCAGGAGTTCGAGACCAGCCTGGCTAACATGGTGAAATCCCATCTGTACTAAAAATATAAAAATTAGCCAGGCGTGGTGGTGCACACCTGTGATCCCAGCTGTTCAGGAGGCTGAAGCAGGAGAATCTCTTGGACAGAGTCCTGCTCTTTTGCTCAGACTGGGGTGAAGTGGCATGATCATGGCTTACTACAGCCTCAACCTCCTGGGCTCAAGCGACTCCCTCACCTCAGCCTCCTGAGTAGCTGGGACCACAGGCGTGTGCCACCACGTCCTGCTAATGTTTTTATTTTTTGGTGAGATGGGGTTTAGGTTGGTCTTGAACTCCTGGGCTCAAGTGATCTGCCTACCTTGGCCTCCCAAAGTGCTGGGATTACAGGTGTGAGCCACCATGCCAGACCTTACATTGATTTATTGTTATTTTTTCTTTTCTGTTCATCTCTCTTTGTTTTTGAGATGGAGTCTCACTCTGTTGCCCAGGCTGGAGTGCAATGGCATGATCTCGGCTCACTGCAGCCTCCACCTCCCAGGTTCAAGCGATCCTTGTGCCTCAGCCTCCCAAGTAGCTGGGACTACAGGTGTGAGCCACGGTGCCTTGCTAATTTTTATATTTTTAGTAGAGTTGGGGTTTCACCATGTTGCCCAGGATGGTCTCGAACTAGTGACTTCCGGTGATCCGCCCGCCTCGGCCTCCCAAAGTGCTGGGATTATAGGCGTGAACCATTGCGCCCAGCCCTATTTTTTCTTCTCACTGCCTCTCTCCAGCATACATCAGTTTTTGTTAACCTGGATTGAGCTACATCTGTAGAGGATGGCATTTTGTCTTTAGTATTAAAGGAAAAGAGAAAGTCTTTTCCATCTGCACTGGTTTGAAATTAGGGCTCCCTTAACATGAATTGCTGCAGGACTCATTCACATGAGAGTTCATACATGCAGTGGAAAGACAAACAGGGTTTCATGGTCACTCTTTTTGGTTAATTGCATGAAACGAGGGATAAATACATGCATAATCTGTTTAACAAAACTCCTAGGTTCATCAGCATGCAAAATAGAAAGTGTCTTAAAAGAGACTGTGATCAGCAGGCAGACAGCCTATGTTGGTTTGTTTCCTTTGACTGCTTCAGATCTTCTAGAGGAGCTCCTCTACTAAGAGAGTCTGAACTTCTGACCTCATGGACAGGAACCTCAGATAGGCAAGGCTTTCTGAAGGTGCTCCTCCTACCTTCATTCAAATAAAGTATTCCTCCCGCCTTCACCCTGATAGGGTGTTCCTCCTGCCTTCACTGGGGACTTTTTTTTTTTTTTTTTTTTTTTGGAGTGGGGGTTTTTTTTCTTCGCCCAGGCTGGAGTGCGGTGGCCAGATCTCGGCTCACTGCAAGCTCCGCCTCCCGGGTTCACGCCATTCTCCTGCCTCAGCCTCCCGAGTAGCTGGGACTACAGGCACCCGCCACCTCGCCCGGCTAGTTTTTTGTAATATTTAGTAGAGACGGGGTTTCACCGTGTTAGCCAGGA